TATTTTCCAGAAGTATCTCCAGAGCCTCCCCACAGACGTGCTGGCTGCTCATGGTGGGGCTCTATCCATCTGGGGGATGGAGAGGGAGCCTTTCCTTTGCCCAAAGCACTGTCTGCTCCTAGAGCCACACACCCCTGGGCCTTGTCTGCCCAGAGGGGACATCGGTCACACAGGCAGGTGGGAGCTCTCCTTGCCCTTACCCTGGACCTCCATCCCCTTTACCTTCTCTCCTTATCACCCTGTCTTGTTTAGTGCAACAGCCTGTCATGGTGTTTGATGTTTTGTTTTGTTTGGCTTTTGACCTATCCCCCCTCTAGAGGGGCCCTTGTCTTTTTCAGGGTCGCATCTTTGGCCCCTAGTGCAGAGCCTGACGCAGGAGTAAATCTTCACAGGAAGAAGGAAAGTGCTTTCCTGCCCCTTCCGCACACTTCCTGGCAGATTCTGGGCCCTGCTCCCTTTGGCTCCCAGGTCTGATGAGCTCATCCAGGAGGCAAGGGAGAAAGAAGTAAGAGGCTTTCGAAGGTGTGAGGAAGGAGGCGAGTTCACCAGAGGTCAGACAGCTGCTGGCCGGCCAGAACCCCGACAGGCAGTGGGTGGAAATGCTGAGCGAGTCGGAAAAAACCGTCTGGAGCCGAGAGGAGGAGCTGAGTGAGCCTTGGAGACACATAAGGTGCACTTACGGGGGAGAACGAAAGCAAGTCAAAGAGCCCACAGTCTGAGTAAAACTGCCAGCGGAGGCAGAACCAGCCTCCGATTGGTGGGAGGCAGCGAGGCCCAGACGAGCGAGGTGCGTCTCTGGGAGGACAGCCCATAATACCTGCAAGGCCGGCCCATAAATCACTCCCAAGGCTGGCATGTTGCAGAAGACATTACCCTCTGAGGAAAATCGTTTCCTGACCCATTGGCTCATCTATTTCAGGGTGTTGTTTTTGGAATAATTGCAGGCATATAACTTGCAAGAGCATCATTTGGATGTTTTTCTTGAGGCGCGGTGAAAACCCGAGTCTCCCAGATGCCTGTTCCAGCTAAGGATTGCCCGGCCGGGTCACTGCCCAGACGAACATTTTTGAGATTTCCTTTTCTTGGCTCAGTGGGCCATTGTAAATCCAGGGTAATATTTTTCCTCGCAGGTGAACGTATTCACATTTGGGGTTGATGTTAGGCCACACAGAGTCCAACAAAACGGCCTATTGTTCCAAGTCGGAAGGCAAAGGCACCAAAGCACTGACATTCTTTTATTTATTTATTTATTTATTTATTTATTTATTTATTTATAGAGTTAATTAATTAATTAATTCAAGAGAGAGCATGAGCAGGGAGGAGAGAGCAGGGAGCCCGATGCGAGACTCAATCCCAGGACCCCGAGATCACAACCTGAGCCTAAGGCAGATGCTCAACCACTGAGCCACTCAGGTGCCCCCAGTCCTGACATTGTTATTAGAGGTTCTATGAATGGAGCACAACAATTAAGTTTCTTTTGTTCTTGCTCCGTGGGGCCCACAATTGTGAATCTATAACTTGCTGTACGGATTCCAACTTATTAATCATTTGAAAGCAAAATTCTATGTAATGATTGAAATCGAAAATGAGGATTTGATAAAGGGAAGTGTCACCTGACACCATCTTCTTCCCCGGTGGATGCCAAGTGGCAGATTCTTGAGTTGCCCCCCGACCCCAGAGTGGGTGGCAGGGAGCTGAGGTGTGGGCCACACTAGGGAAGGCTGGAATGTTCCTGGGTGAGGGTGTTATCCCTGCCCCACGCACAGGTGTGGACCAGGCCTAGTGGGTCCAGGCGAGACCTTTGGTTTGGCCATGTTGGCGGCTGCCTCCTGGGTTTCCTGCCTGGTTTGCTGCCAGGACTAGGAGGCTGAGTTGGGAAGGGTTCAGCTTTTCGGGCCAGACCTCATCGTGAGAATTCTAAGTTCTCACACCTGGGCAACACTTTCGGATTCAGAAACTGTTTTACAACCAAGGACCCATTTAACCTCACAGCGTTCATGGGAGGTGACAGGACTGGATTTATTATCCCCATTAGGTAGGTAGCAAACTGAGGAGCAGAAAGAAAAAGTGACCTGGCCAGATTACAGAGCAAGGACTCCAGTAAGGTCTCCTGACCTGTAGAGCAGTGAGCCCCCATCCCCCAATCACATTCTACTCTGTGCCAGGTTGGGCCCCTCCAGGGTGTCCAGGACTTGGGGCACAATGTCCAGGGCTAGGTCCTGGGAAGAGAAAAGGATCTACTTCTCTTTCCAACAGGATTGTGCAGTGGAGAAAATCTCAACCCTAGCGGTTTGGGGAAGGGAGTATAACTTGGTTTTTGTTTTAATTACTAAAATAAACATTTTTAAATGGGGTCTATGCCCAACATGAGGATCAAACTCACAACACTGAGAGCAAGAGTCTTGGGCCACTCGCTATTTACAGGAAACCAGAAATGAATCACACTCCTATCTGAGTATCGGGTGAGTCTGGATCTTGGCCATTTGTGACTTGTTGGATGCTGTGTTTCAAGGCACAGCCTTGGTGGTGTGGGAGGAAAGGTTTGTCCAAGGGGGCATAATTTGGGGCACAACGCCCCCTGTCTTTTTTTTTTTCAACGCCCCCTGTCTTAGTCCTCCTCAGCCTCTCCATGATTACTGTCTGCCCTCAATGCCCACGTTGTGACCCCAGGTCCCTTGTCCATGCTGCTGGGACAGTGGTCTGGGCTCTTAAGCCACCTTGAGAAGACCAGGAGTTCTCTTATTTTCAACTGATTCCATCATCCTTTGCTTCAGAAGGACGCTGCCACATCCACGTTGACACAGGGTGCTGCGGCTCAGAGATTGTCCCCAGGATTTAAGTATCTTAGGCAAAGGCCAGGGCTGGGAACAGGAGACCTGGGTCCTAGCTCTGTCGCTGAGGTCCTGGGAGACCAGCACAGACTCTTATAATTGCTCAGCACCTTGGTCTCCATCCCTTTTAAAGTGGGACTCATGATTCTGGTGCTCTTCCAGGCAAGGGTGACTGGGAGGCTGGTGTAGGAGAATGAGGAAGGGTTGGTGATGATGCTGGCTCTGGAAGGAGTGTCATTGTGATCCTAGAGCTAGGTGGCCTGAGTTTGAGATTCCAGCTCCTTTGCTTACCGACCTGCTTCAGTTTCCCCATCTGCAAGACGGCGATTAAAAAAATCCTGCCATAATAAAAATCTTTAGGAAAAAAAGGGGGGTGGGCAGCCCCGGTGGCGCAGTGGTTTAGTGCTGCCTGCAGCCCAGGGCGTGATCCTGGAGACCCTGGATCAAGTCGCACGTCGGCTCTCTGCATGGAGCCTGCTTCTCCCTCCGCCGGTGTCTCTATGAATAAATTAATAAAAATCTTAAAAAAAAAATCCTGCCTGCTTCATGGTATTACCACGAGCATTAGCCAAGTTGGTTTTAGTAAAGCAACCAGCCTAGTGCCTGTAAGTAGTCAGCAAAAGGCAAGAGCACCGTTTCCTTGCTCCCCTTTGCAGCCGACAGCATCCCTATGGCATTGGGCAGAGGGCTTGCCTTCCTGGAGAGCCTTGCTCTGCCCTGAGTCCACATGGCTCTGGGATGTGGCCTGGTGGAAGGTCAGAGCCAACAGGCTGGTCAGGATTGGCTGGAAGACAGGTTGAGAAATAATGACCAACACAGAAGCTTTCTGAAGATTTTCTTGAGGGTTCTTGGTCTTTTTGCTAACTTCCATGGTGACAGTGCCAAAATCAAGTTCAATAAGAGAAAATGTTACAGTGTTGGGGAAAGGAATGGATTTTGATGCCCTCTCTCTAGCTGTGCGGCTTGGGGAAATTCGTTTAACTTTGCTGATTCTCAGTTTCCGTATCTACAAAGTGTGGGTAGTGGTCCTTCCCTTTCAAGATTCTTGTGAGAATTATCTGAGACGATCTAAGTAAATAACATAGCCTCTTTGTCTCAGATTAAACATGGCCACAACATTTTGTAATTAATTTTTTATTTTAATTCCAGTGTAGTTAACATACAGTGTAATATTAGTTTCAGGTGTACAATATGACTCAACACTTCCATACAAAACCCAGTGCTCTTGACAAGTGCCCCCCTTCACCCCCATCCCTTCACCCACCTCCCTTCCTATAACTGTGTTTGTTCTCTATAGTTAAGAGTGTTTCTTGTCCTCTCTCTCTCTCTCTGTTTTGTTGCTTAAATTCCACATATGAGTGAAATCATATGTTTTTGTCTTTCTCCAACTGACTTAGTTTGCCTTGCATTATATTCTCTAGCTCCATCCATGTCATGGCAAGATCTCATTCTTTTTTAGGGCTGAGTAATATATATATATATATATATATATATATATATATATATATATACCACCCCTTCTTCATTGATTCATCTAACAATGGACACTTGGGCTGCTTCCATAATTTGGCTACTGTTGATAATGTTGCTATAAACATAAGGGTACATGTATTCCTTTGAATTAGTGTTTTTGTATTTTAGGGGTACATATCTGATAGTGGAATTCCTGGATCATAGGGTAGTTCTATTTTTAATTTTTTTCCCCCCACAACATTCCATTTATACACAGAACTAAATAGACAAGCACAGTCACTAATGCGGTTAGAAGTTGGCAGCCTGGGAAAGGGAGGAACAGGTGGGGAACTGGGGTGTCATTAAAAAATACAGGTCCCCCAAAACTGGGGTGCCTGGGGGGAACTTGGTCTGCTTCAACCCAAGAGGAATCAGAAGATCAAAAGCGTTTTGGGAAAGCCAGAACCCTCAGGGATAGAGAGAGGAAGAAGGCCCAGGGGATGAGGGGGCTGTTTGGCAACTGGGGTGAAGAGATTGCCCTCCCCCTGCTGGGATCCCCCCAGCCCCTCTGGTCTAGCAGGAAGGGGGCAGCTTGCAACCCCCATGGGCAGGTCTGGAGGGGGCTCACAAAGGCTTGCCCTCCAGAGAGATGATGGCACTGCCCCCCAGTTTCTCTGCCAGGGTGCAGGGGACTTTGACCTCCGCATAGCAGATTGCTTATAATTCATGCATGATCCCGGTCCTCTTTTTCTTGATGGCATCCTTGGATCTGGCATAAATCATTTTGCTCTTAAGGAGTGCAGAGTCAGGTGCCCAGAAGATAAACACCAGGTCCTCCTTCTTGCTCTCCTTGGTCTCGTAGGTTGCATCATAGAGGGCATAGCGGCAGTCCTTGTCTGGTAGCATCTTGACAAGGATGGCGTAGAGGTCGTCTACAGTCCGGCTCACATCACCTACCAGTTTCTCCTTGCCCTCCTCGAGGATGATGTCCTTCTTGTCCTCGCTCAGGAAGAAAAGTACTGCCTTCTTGTGCTTCTTCACCTCCTCTGGTGTTGAGGACTTAGGCACCTTCATGTCATTGAACATTTTGATGACACTGTCAGAAACCACCACCCCAGAGGCCATGGTTCTGGAAGCGAAAGGGAGGTAGCAAAAAGGGTCAGAAGAGATGAGAGCCACTGCAGCTGCTGCCAGGATCCGACTGAATCTATTTTTAATTTTTTGAGGAATCTCCACACTGATTTCCGGAGTGGCTGCACCAGTTTGCATTCCCACCAACAGTGCAAGAGGGTTCCCCTTTCGCCAACACCTGTTTGTTATATTTTTGATTTTAGCCATTCTGACAGAAGTGAGGTGATATATCACTGTACTTTTGATTTGTATTTTCATAATGATCACTGATGTTTAACATCTTTTCATGTGCCTGTTGGCCATATGGATGTCTTCTTTGAAGAAATGTCTGTTCATGTTTTCTGCCCATTTTTAAAATTGGATTATTTGTTTCTTGGGTGTGGATTTGTATCAGTTCTTTATATACTTTGGATACTAACCCTTTATCAGAGATGTCATTGGCAAGTATCTTCTCCCATTCTGCAGGTTGCCTTTTAGTTTTGTTGATTGTTTTCTTTGCTGTGCAGAAGCTTTTCATTTTAAAGTAGTCTATTAGTTTATTTTTCCTTTTATTTCCCTTCCCTCAAGAAACAGATCTAGAAAAATGTTACTATGGTTGATGTCAGAGAAGTTATGCCTGTGTGCTTTTCTAGGATTTTATGGTTTTGGGTTTCACATTTAGGTCTTTAATCCATTTTGAGTTTGTTTTTGTGTGTGGTGTAAGAACATGGTCCAATGTCTTTCTTTTATATGTGGCTGTCCAGTTTTCCTAGCACCATTTGTTGAAGGGACAGTCTTTTTCTCATTCTGTATTATTCCTTATTTGTCAAAGATTATTGACCATGCAGTTGTGGGTCCATCTCTGGGTTTTCTATTCTCTTCCATTGATCTCTGTGTCTGTTTTTGTGTCAGTATCATAGAGTCTTGATCACTACAGCTTTGTAATATAGCTTGAAGTCTGGAATGCTGAGGAGTCCAGTTTTGCTTTTTTTTTCTCAGGATTGCTTTGGCTATTTGGGATCTTCTGTGGTCCCATACAAATTTGAGGATTGTTTGTTCTAGTTCTGTGAAAAATGTTGTTGGTTATTTGGAGAGGGATTACATTGAATGTGTAGATTGCTTTGGGTGATGTAGACATTTTAGCAATATTTGTTCTTCCGATCTATGATCATGGAATGTCTTTGTGTCATTTTCACTTTCTTTCACCAATATTTTATAGGTTTCAGAGTACGGGTGTTTCACCTCTTTGGCTAAGTTTATTCCTAGGTGCATTATTTTTGGTGCAGTTATAAATGGGATTGTTTTCTTAATTTCTCTTTCTGCTGTTTTGTTATTAGTTTATAGAAATGCAATAGATTTCTGTACATTGATTTTGTGTCCTGAGACTTTGCTGAATTCATTTATCAGTTCTAGTAGTTTTTTGGTGGGTCTGTGGGGTTTTCTATATATAGTATCATGTCATCTGCAAATAATGAGAGTTTTACTTCTTCCTTACCAATTTGAATGCGTTTTATTCTTTTTCTTATCTGATCACTGTGGCTAGAACTTCCATTACTATGGTGAATAAAAGTGGTGAGAGTGGACATCCTTGTCTTGTTCCTGACCATAGGGAACAAGCTTTCAGTTTTCCCTCATTGAATATGATGCTGGCTGTGGTTTTTCATATAAGGCTTTTATTATGTTGATATGTGAATGATTCTTTAAATGTAACATTGGATTCGGCTTGCTAGTATTTTGTTTATCAGAGAATTGACCTATAGTTCACTTTTTGATGCTGTCTTTATCTGGTTTGGTATCAGGGTAATGCTGGCTTCATAGAGTGAATTGGATGTTTTCCTTCCTTTTCTATTTTTTGGATTATTTTGAGAAGAAGAAGAGTTGTTACCTCTTCTTTAAATGTTTGATAGAATTCCCCTATGGAGCCATTTGGTCCTGGACTTTCGTTTGTTGGGAGATTTTTGATTATTGATTCCATTTCCTTGCTGATTATCAGTCTGTTCAAATATCCCATCTCTCCCTTACTCAGTTTTGGTAGTTTGAATGTTTCTAGGAATGTATCCATTTCTTCCAGGTTGTCCAATTTGTTGGCATATACTTTTCCACAATATTGTCACAATTGGTTGTATTTATGCGGGGTTGGTTGTTATTCCTCCTCTCTTGTTTGTGATTTTGTTTATTTGAGTCCTTTCTCTTTTTTTCTTGAGTCTAACTAGAGGTTTATCAATTTTGTTGATTTTTTTTTTTCCAAAGAACTGGCTCCTGGTTTCATTGATATGTTCTATTGCTTTTTAAGCTTCTATATTATTTATTTCTGCTCTAATCTTTATCATTTCCTTCCTTCTGCTGGTTTTGGATTCTGTCTGTTGTTCTTTTTCTAGCTCCTTTAGGTATAAGGTTAGGTTGCTTATTTGAGATTTTTCTTGCTCCTCAAGGTAAATAGGGCCACAACATTTTGCTACTCTTTCTATAGAGGAAGAATCTATTTCCTGACCTCTGAATGAGGCCTGGCCTTGCCACTGGCCTTGCCCAGTGCAACACAGCAGAAGGGACATTGCAGACTTTGGAAGCTCAGCCTTATGGGGCAGTGCAGCTTCTGCTTTGGCCCTCCTGGAAGCTGCCCTGAGCCCACTAGGTCAGGAAGCTGGTCTAGGCTCCTGCAGGAAGAGAGGCCACACAGAGGGCCACCAAAGTGCCAAGCCAAACACCCCTGCACAGCTCCTTGTCCCATGAATGAGCACACCCTGGGACTCTCCAGCCCAGGGGAACTTCCAGCTGAAATAAATAAGAACTGCCTAGCCAACTTAGAGAATTGTGAGAAACAATACGTCGTTGTTGCTTTGTCATCAAGTTTTGGGATGGTTTGTTATGTAGCAAAGGCAGCCCCAAATGGTCCTCAGTATAGATTGGTTGAATTGAATAATAGTAGAGGTGAGAGTCCTGTGGAAAATAGAGCCTGTGCTTTTAAACCCAAGCTGCTAATATCATTATTGTCCAAACTGATTGGTTCTGATAAGAAAATAAAGTAACACAATGGAGTAATCATTATTGGGTGATGGCTTCTTATTTCCCTCTCTCCTGGGAGAAAGACCACAGTCAGGTGGAAAGCCTCGACAGGCCAAAGGAACAGTAACTTTCTTTGTGCACAAACATTTAAAATCTCTATCTTTTCATGTCTGCAGTAACTGCGTCGCCTCATTTGGCCACCTGGGATGGTGCCACAACTCCTATTAATATTGCCGTACGTGGCAGCATTGCGCTCCAGTGCCACGCTCTCGGCTGCCTGTGTGGGGCACAGAGCCTATTTTTAGTGTTTTACATCTATAATTATGTATGTTTCACTGCCTCTCAAATGCATATTTGTTCTGGGGAGAGGTTACGGTTATGTAATCTAGGTTATTTTTGATAGGGCAAATGTGTTATACCAACCTGCTAAGTCTCTTTCAACCAGAGAAAAATGTCCAGCTGTTTCTCCCTCACTCAGACTCCCATGGAATCAGGGGTGAATTTAAAAATATTGAAGTCCTAATAAATCAGAATAAAACCAGCCATTACATCAACTGATATGTATGAGGTGGATATTAGTCTCGCTTGTAAGGACCAGTTCAGTCTATGACTCAATTTGTGATTTTTACAAACTAAAGTTCCCTTCAAGGAAACTAATCTACTGGGAATAATGCTGGTCTTAACAGGATGATATCAACCTTGCTGACTGCTTGGATCAATTTCCCAAGGTGTCACGCATTTGGCTAAAACGTTTCCCCAATGGTGGTTTCTAACCCAAAAGGAAGGACCAGCAAAGCCAAGGCTAAGTGGGTGGGCCCCAGGGAGGGAGATCTGGAGCCAGGACTCACAGATGGAGCAGGTGACCTGGGGGGCACCACTGTGGCAGACCAGAAGGAGTCTAGGCAGCACCCCCAGAGCTTGGAGCTGCAGATGTCTACGCAGATAGATGGGTGGAGGTTAAGGTATCAAAGCAGCTGGAAGCAAGAACCAAGCAAGTATGGATAATCAGGCCAGCAAAATATACCCCCCAAAAGTTAATTTTGCTTGGGCAAATACATATCATTTTAAAAATGATTTATTTATTTACTTGGATCCCTGGGTGGCGCAGCGGTTTGGCGCCTGCCTTTGGCCCAGGGCGCGATTCTGGAGACCCGGGATCGAATCCCACGTCGGGCTCCCGGTGCATGGAGCCTGCTTCTCCCTCTGCCTGTGTCTCTGCCTCTCTCTCTCTCTTTGTGTGTGACTATCATAAATAAATAAAAATTAAAAAAAAATTATAGTTAACATACAATGTCATATTAGTTTCTTTTTTGGGGGGGTACAGTATACTTTATTGATAGTACATGACAAGGTAGTGCTCCCCAAGCCCCTCCCCTTCCTTGGGGTCTGGGATGTAAATTGAAGGTCAGGAGATTCTCAGTGTGTTGGGGGATTAAGTTGGGGCAGGGACTCCCCAGCAGCTGAGGGCCTCTCTCTTCCTCTTGTTCTTGCTGGGGTTGGTGGTCCAGGAGGTTCTTACTGCTTGGAGGCCATGTGGACCATGAGGTCCACCACCTGGTTGCTGTAGCCAAATTCATGGTCATACTAGGAAATGAGCTTGACGAACTGGTCATTGAGGGTAATGCCAGCCCCAGCGTCGAAGGTGGAAGAGTGGGTGTCACTGTTGAAGTCGCAGGAGACAACCTGGTCCTCAGTGTAGCCCAGGATGCCCTTGCAGGGCATCCGATGTCTGCTTCACCACCTTCTTGATGTCATCATATTTGGCAGCTTTCTCCAGGTGGCAGGTCAGATCCACAACTGACACGCTGGGGGTGGGGACACGGAAGGTCATGCCAGTAAGCTTCCCGTTCAGCTCAGGGATGACTTTGCCCACAACCTTGGCAGCGCCAGTGGAAGCAGGGATGATGTTCTGGTCAGCCCCTTGGCTGTCACGCCACAGCTTCCCAGAGGGGCTGTCCACAGTCTTCTGAGTGGCAGTGATGGCATGGATGGTGGTCATGAAACCCTCCACG